TCACGTGACCACCTCCCAGGATCACGTGACCCCCCCGCCGAGGTCACCTGACCTCCCATATGACGTCACCGACATCCGCATTGTCATCGTCATCATTACTGATGACGTCATCAGTGACGTCACTGATGACGTCACCGACATCGTCATCGTCATTATCGCTGATGACGTCATCGGAGTCCGCATCGTCAACGTCACTGATGACGTCATCAGTGACGTCACTAATGACATCATCGGCATCGTCACGTGACCCCTCAAGGTCACGTGACCCCCCCAGGTCACTTCACCCCTTAGTACCCTTCCCTCCTCCTCCTCAAGAGCTGCGCTCTAATTTGGCGTTACAGGGAGTTGTAAACGGCTTCCACTTTTTTTATGCGTGCTGTGTACCCTTTTTGTGTTATCTTTCATTGTGAAAAATAATGCTGGTAAGTGCCTGCCATTCAAGCTTTTCTGCTCGACATTCACGGGAAACGAAGTAGGTAAAGGACGTCAAACGACCCTCGACGCGATTTTGCGAACATTGTTCTCCCCCCCTCCCACTCCCAGAGATAATCCGCGTAGAATCCTCAGTCATCTCCAAAAGTAGTTGTCCGGGTTAGGTGAGAAACGGGTCAGTCGCGTTTGTTTGTTGTGAAGAAAAGAAGCTCTCCGCAAAACGTGCCCCAAAACAAAGTCATCTCAGATTCCGTCCGATCGTCGAGATGTGACTGTCGTCGACTGTGACTCTGTTATTTGAGATCTTTCTCAAATAAATTCTTTTCGGATTACGCTGCATCGTGTGATACGTACGATATATTGTTCGGGTGTTAACACTTCATTTCCTGTCCATCGGTAAACAAGTTATTTGTGAGCGTGAAAAATGCATGACTTTCGGCCCTCTTCTGTTGCAATTTATTTTTGACAGCAAAGCGCTTTGTCGTTTAACATGCGGCGAATTCCGCGGCGCCGTCAAGACTTATCGTAAGAAAAAAAATTAACTAGAACAATACAGTCCAGTCTCATTCGTTCTGTCGCGCGCGTACCCAACAAAAATAGTTTACAACTTTTTTTTTTTTTTTTTTAATCTGGCACAGTGTTTTCTTAATGTCCTCGGGAACATACATGTACCATGAAAAACAAAATATAGCGGGAAAATACGGGAATTTAGCCGCCAGCAGCGTTTGAAACTGCGCCTCCGCAGGCTGCGCCTATTGAAATCACAGTCCACTCGGTTAGGGTTAGGAGGGACGCCGGTGAGAGTCTAGCCTCAAACTCAGTGACTGGGCTCAAAAACGGTTTGTTGCCCCTGGGGTCGAGTGTTTTTGGAAAGATGTATTCCCGCCATCTCCTCTATTCCCGCTCCTGGCCGCAATGCCTGATAGGACTGCACCCTGGCGCACCGTCGATTTTCTCGGGGCGCGTTGGGGCAACGAAAAGCTGAACCGGTGCGCTCCGTTGATCGAGGACGTCCGGTGCGCACCGGTTCACTTGATCGAAGACGACGGGGCGCACCTCAGTGCACCGGTAAGCACCGGTGCTGATGATCGAGGATGCTACTACAGTATTTTGCCCCCAAGGAGAGAGGCACAACGGAGCATGCGCGTCGGTTCTTCTGCAAGAACGACGGTTGCTTCCCACAATGCTTGGATAGAAATCGTGTACCATTGCGATTCACACGATTACCAGCGACCTCCGCGTTTCCCCGTGCCCCGTTGTTCGGCAGCGCCATGAGTTGCAGAGTGAATTTTACTACAGTATGGTAAGGTACGTTGTTGGGCTAGTTGGTTCATCTTAGTAAAACATATAAAATATCGCAACAGAAACAAGGACAAGAAGTAAACAGGACAGGCGCTAACTTTCAACTAGTTTTATTCTGGAAAATCGAACACATATATACACACGACAGTCAAAGCAGCACCACGTAAAAGTTGATTAATTTTTCACCCGATCATTCAAAAACTGAAATTCATTACAATGAAAAACAATAGAAGTGTCGCTGACACATGCCGTCCCACTTTTTTTGATAAAGAAAGCTTCCAATAGCTCTCGAGCGACCGTCTCTCGGCTTCTTCCTAGTATCCGCATCTGCTGAAGTCGCGGAACACAGCCACACGTGTTGCAATGTATAGGCAAATGCGAGCCATATTTATTTTTTACTGATAATGCGTGCTCCCGTGCTCGGTCATTGATGCACCGCCCCGTCTGGCCAATGTATACCTTTCCACAACTCAGGGGGATTTCGTAGACCACACCCACTGTGCAGTCCACGTAAGGGGTGACGTGTTTTTTGTCACACGGTGCTTTTGCCTCCTCATCAGAGATGCGGGCGCACAACCCAGCCAACTTCTTTGGGGCAGAGAATACAACTGGAACATCGTACTTGGTTGCAACTTTCTTCAGATTGTGGGCAACCTTGTGTATGTACGGAATGACCTCTGGTCTTTTTGTTCTCTGCCTCGTTGGGACCTTTCTTTTCAACCCCTTCATTTTTTGTTAGGCGGTCTCCGCCACAGAAACCAAGACCGAACACGGGAAGCCAGCTAATTCCAGTCTAGAAATTTGGTATTTAAAACTAGCATCCGCCTGATGGTCACAAGACTTCAGCAGTGCAGACTCCAGGCACGAAGTTGCAATCGCTCTCTTAACAGTCTTTGAATGCGCTGAATCAAAAGGAAGTAACTCTTTCCGCGCGCGAGGTCGAAACATCCAGCACACACGTCGTTCGTTGATGGTGATGTTAATATCTAAAAACTGCAAATGATTGTTGTTACTACAGTATGAAATGCGAGACATTTTGCAGACTTTAGAATTTCTTGCGGGACGCGGGACACAAGCCCTCATCGCGGGACAGTCCCGCGAGTCGCGGGACGGGTGGTCACCCTAAATACAACGGCACACTAACCCGATCTCTGCGTTTCCGTCGTTTATACTGGTCGTTTTGAACGTAAGAAATTTCTCGGTGACTGCCTAAGCAATAAAAAATATTCCCAGCATGTTGACTTTTTTCCAGTAATGTCATACCTCTAAGAGTATTTTTAATGGCTCAGGGGATGAATCTCTTAATAATCGAAAACGCTCGATCATGCCGTAATTATTTGAAAGCCAATAAATCGAGCAGCTCCAATGCGGTTCCAAACCATGAGTTTGTTTCCCCACACGGCACTTCGTAACCAGTATTTCTATTGTTGTGTTTGTTGATTTCTATTTGTGCTGTTCGCACACGGCTGCAAATGCCGTCTTAAATTAATCTCTGTAGAGCGGATATTCACTCAGCTGGAAGTGATGCTTCACGGGCAGAGAAATTGCTTTTTGATCAAAACTAAATGCAGTCAAAGCCGCGACTTGCGGCAGGTGTTAAGTGTACGGAGTTACGCGGTGGCGAGCTCAAAAACTTCTATCGCTCATCCCAGCGCGCCACTTGGAGGGCAGTGTCTCCAGGAACCGTGGTATATTTAAACAGCGAAATGAAGGATAGATTTTTTTTTTCGATTTTACCTACTATTGTTTTTTAATGCTAAAATTCCACACTGCAAATGTACGTACTTTCCGTCATAATTTCGTACTGTTCAGTCCTTTCCCCGGAGCGCGATCGCTCTCGGGGACCGACCGACAGTCACATTGGCCACTGTACGATAGGAGCTTACTGTTCAGACCAGCGTTCCAACATGACTATCCGCACGTCGATCGATTGCACCTTATCCCCCAAGTGGTCTTAAACTCTTTAATGTAATGTAAAGCGGAATGTCACCTTGCGACACCCCACCCCCTCCGATCACGGCCCGACCAGCGGCATGAATGACCGACAACTTACGTCATCTCATCTTGTTACGCCACTGATACGCGAACACAGGGTCACATCGGCGATAATTCCAGTCTTATGTACACAACGCACAACACTGCCATCACGATGCTGCTGCTATGTACACGCAGAAATACAGATCCACGTTGATTGCCGGTTGGCACTCGGCATCGGATAGCAGAACCGAACTCATCACGGAAGGCATGCCGGCAGCAAAACCTGCCGGTCTTGGACGCAGTCCCTGCAACTTCCATAACGTCGAAGACGTCGACACAGTTCCGCGTGGTTCCACTTCTGTAGTTCCGCGTGGGTCCCCCAAACGGAGACGGCCATCTTACCCAGTGTACGTAGCGCTGCTGGCACTGCTCCGGAACTTCGCCGTTTCTAGCGGCTTCGTTTGCTCGTTTGATAAAATTAGTGGTAAAAACGTCAATGCCACCGAAATGTTCTGCACGTTTGGACTAGAAGACGGAATTACAGGCGGCCTTCGCTGCCGCTGAAGCTCAATCAACTCAACAACATTTATTAAACAACGTGCGCGACGAACTCGAAAAATGAAACCGAAAAAAGATGAGTCGGGAGGGCGAAAGCTTTCTCCCGTCTGCCTGGAGAAGGAGAAAAACGTCTCGTTCCTCCCTGTTTCTCGTGTCCGCTTGGGGACGCGTCAGTAGAAGGGAGGAAGACGCACCTCTGCTACTTTTTTCCTCCATTTTTCTTAGAGTGCAGGAGTGGCTGCAAAGGTAGAGCAAACCCACCCACTCGTAGCCTGAATGTCTTCAATGTTCTGAACGCTCAATGAACCAACTGTCCTATTTTTTTAATGATGTTCTTTTGAGGAAGAGCTTTAATGTTCCAGCTAGCATGGAGGTGGTACAGATCACGTTGATACAAATCCAGGTTGATTGCCGGTTGGCAATCAACGTGGATCTGTAGTTTCTGTAGTAAGTTGTAGTTTCTCTGGGTAAGTTTTTCCCAGTAAACGGAAGGCCAATGAAGTGAATAAGCACCGCAAAAGCATTTTCTAACTGGGAGGTAAAGGTTCCACGTCAGCATTGACTCTCAGCGTTCGAGAGTTGTTCTTAGTTATGTGGAAATGGTTCAGCTTGAAATCATTTTCCATTCAAAGACACCAAGTGAAAATGAAGTCGCAAAGGAAAAAAGACAGAGACAGAAGAAACGATGTCTAATCTACCTGCAATTCTCACCCATATCCCTGGACGCGCAGGTCTTCGGCAGCTGGGTGCTGGGCGGTGTGGCCTGCAAGGTCATCGTGTACCTGCAGATCGTGACCCTGGCCTCGACCACGTTCATTCTGACCTCGATGAGCTACGACCGGTACATGGCCATCTGCAAGCCCCTCGAGTCCAGGTCGGGCCTCAGGCGCGCCCGCTGCATGGTCGCCGCCTCCTGGGCCATGGCATTCGTCTTTGCCACTCCGCAGCTCTTCATCTTCCTTCAGGTGGGTTGAAACTGCATCTGAACGACAGTCATTTGTACTCGATTTTCATCGACCAGAACAAGCTACAAAAGCAAAAAAGCGATCGCGTGTTGGGAGAAACAGTATCATGCTCCGAAGTTATAGTATGCAAATAGGCACCAATGCTCAATAAGAAATTTCATTTGCTTTTTATTCACTACCGAGCAACCTGAGAATCGACGACTACTATCAAGATAGCCTCACCGAGCAGTCCTTTGTTTTAGGCCGTCATTTGTTGTACATGTTCCAATTATGCTTCCACGTGCTGAGGTGCGGAGAAGTAGAAATACAGGCATATATTGTTCCTTATGCTCAACGTTGCAGCAATGCCGAGGCACATTGCAGCCCATACACGTGATTCACCTCTGTACGTTTACAAGGATACCAAAAAGTCCAATGGACGATAATTTTATTTTCTTGTAGTGGTGAATATGTTGCACAGTGACATGCGCAAAAAAACGGCATTGAGCTGGCAGTTTCATAACTAATACATTGTGAACTTTCAAGCCATTATAGTGTGTATATAGAAGTGCACGTTTGGTGGAATTGGATATTTCGCGATATTGGCAGAGATTTTAGAGCGTCCATGAGCACCTCCTGATGGTGTGTTCTGCTTATTTCACAAAGCATGCACAAAAACAAAGCAAGCCGACACAAGAGCATGGCATGAGCGTCCGGCATCGTTCCCATGCAGGTCCAGACGGGCGTGACAGCATCCGGTCTGCCCCACCTGGAATGCCTGAGCGTGGGCTACACGCACCACTGGCAGCGGCAGCTCTACTTCAGCTGGCTCACGCTCTATATCCTGGTCGTGCCGGGCCTGCTCATTTCCGTCTTCTACCTCAGCCTGCTGAGGGCCGTGTGGGCGGCCTCCGACGCCGTTGCCGCCACTCCGGCCAAGGACAGCGGCAACGTGGAGTCCACACTACGGCGCTGCACCCAGGCGCAACCCCTGCTGTCTCGTGCGCGAGCCAAGACGCTCAAACTGTCGGTGAGAAATGAGGGCTGAGTGTTAAACCAATGCCACTGGACACTCCAGCCGAAAACCCCCGAGAGAAGGTCGTTTTGCCTCTGTCGTCTGCTTTCGTTGCTTGGTTCTCGTAGCCAGCATAGCTTTATACTTAAATTTAGAGTGCACAAGAATAATTCACACCGAAACCTGCGGAACGGTAAAAATGAACCACTCATTTAAGTGCTGACTATCAACTCGTTGCATTCGGTCTCCTTCTACGCCGTTTGCGCAACTACAACAATTCGTTATTTGCTCTTTTTTGCCTGATAAATCAACTCTTTTTCGTATAACGTTATAGAAGGGTTGCTAACACAATTTTCGTTCAGCTTCACAATGTTCTCATCCTCAAGAATGTCTCGAGTGAGCTGTTGAAAGTTCTTGTTGATAACGGTGCCGTCCGGCAACGGATGTCTAGTGGTCACAAGTAGTTTGTACCCTAAAATAATTTGTACTTGGCTGCATAATTTTATCAACCTACTTAAGTCATTCATTGTTTTATTTCTTCAAACGTGAACGCGAGGACTACATTCGAAGCACGGAGGAAAAAGCGAACACGAACACTTTCTCTCCCTTTGACGACATTCCGGACGGCGATACTTAGTTGTTTTACAATAGATTGCCGCCCTTCGAAGACGCTTATAGGGTTTCAACGACGTCCACCTCGCAAACATCAGTCCTACAAAAATAAACATGTCTAGCCTTGGCCAAAGACGCAAATCGAGCTGGCAAAAAAAAAACAAAAAAAAACGTCGTTTTCAGTAATTATTTTTATCATCTTACACCATGTCACTCTTACGCCATGTCTAGTAAAAGGTTTTTACCTTCCAAAAAGCACTTTCATGTGCAGCACCAAATTTACGCTGAAACGCAAGAAATCAAGGTGTTCCCCGTGCTGAAACATGAAACCGACCTCCTTTCGTCCGCCATTTTGCCCATTTTAATTGTGATTCTTCTGCGCATTGGCCATCTTGGCATTCCGAGCTGAGGAACGCCTTCTAAATAAGCGCAGTCTCCCTCTTTTCGGTAATAGGAGACAACACCCGTGCTGCGTCCTCGGGCAAGTGACGCGGCATTTTTTGCCTGGTTGATAAGAAATAGAAAGAAGGTATTTCACCATTGCGATTTACCGCATGAACTATTCGAGGCACCGGAGTCAATCCAAATATCAGAGCGTGTCACTTGACCTTCCGGCTAGTAAGAGCAGAGTGCAGAGCATGAAGTCATGTGGCGCATGTGGAACACTGAATCGGCTAACATGGTTCTGAACTCCCGTTGAGGTACGTGGTAAGATGGAAAGGAGCGTAGAGTCTATAGACTAGTCTAATTTAAGTTCGATCAATCAATACCATGTAGAATACGAGGCTTGTGCCTTTCCTCCTTTGACGTCATCGCGGGTGGACCTCTGTAAAGGTTCTGTTAAAGCTCTGTTCTACTCCGACGTTGAGCGTAGCAAGCGTGGCGTAGCGCTGCGCACATAGATACTGACTGGTCGCAGATATCGGGTCGCTGCTCGCCGGTCAGGCGCATGTTCTGCGCTAAGCTGCATTCGCTGCGATGAACGTCCGAGTACAACAAATCCTTAACGCCGGCCAGCTCGTGTCCGCTTCGCCGCAGTCGCGTAGGCGACGCGCTGACGGCGAGCCACATAGAGGGCAATGGTGAAGCGTTGCGCTTCCAAGATACTGGCGTCTAGCGCTTCGTCCAATAATTTCGTCAAGCGTTAGCGCTTCACCCGCTTGGCGTGGTTCCGAGGTCTACTTACAATGACGTAAATCGCTGGTCTCACCTTCTAATTGATATTGTCTGACCACAAAAGTAGCAAATGTATAACTTGATTAAGGAAAGCTCTGCTCAGGTGATTAGCGCTGACTAGAATGCGAGCCGGAGCGCAACCACACGCTAAGAACAACGCAAACGCTCACAGTGATCTATTATACTCTGTTTCATATTTTAGCCCACTTCTAAATAATGAGATGTTCAAAGGCTGGGCATGTCATGCGTTTTGGTTTAGTATACAATTTTGTTGCTGTAGAGAGCGGTGTTTGAAAGTGGACGGCGCATTAGAGGCGTGCACCCACCATTGGATCATTTCTCATCGCAGCAGTAACCCGCCCACCTGATCCAACTGGGCAAGTTGATACTCGTGCTTTATGTTTTACGCTACCCTGCGGTTCATCTCTCCCGAAACATTACCACAGCGTTGACGCCGACACTTCTAGTTGGCTAAGCAACTTAATGCGCCTGGCAGAGGTGGCAGTACTGAAAATACTGCAATTCAATTACAGTAATTAAATTACTTTTGAGAGTAATTTGTAATGTATCTCATTACTCTTTAATGCAAATAATTTAGTAATGTAATGAATTACGCTAGTGGCGGTATTTGTAATTAAAATCGTAATTACTTTTTGGATATTTAAGGCATGTTTTCTTCTCATTTGCCCGGAAATATACAAGGAAAAAAGCGCAGTTATTGCATTTGCAAAAATATATATATATATAAAGCTTCTTTAAAAAATAACGAAAAAGAAAGGACAAATGCGGTTTTCGTTTGTGGCCGCTGGCTCGTATGACGGTCGGGCTGCGTGCCTTTATGTGCGCGTTACTTGAAGGCACTCTAGGTCGGACTACAAGGTCGTGCCACCTAAATGCTGCTGGGTCTGTGTTGCTGTGACCAAGAATAGGCTTCCCATAACATGGCTTTTGTCCCCCTTGAAGATTATCTTGCCCCCAAATTCACACAAAGAAGACGCAACCCACAGAAATAATCAATAGCGAGGCAATCGGAACCCAGACACATCCGGGAATCGAAAGCGTGCGCAGGAGGCGTTTCGGAAAAAACGTGAACCCATAACACAGACAGAAACAAGATCAGTCGCTTCTGTTCGGGAGGGCATATTGGTTCGCCTTATCTGTCTTTGGCTTTGCCCACTGACTTGGTGTGGGGTTAACGGGTGTTACATTGCAAATGCAGAGCAGAATCCGTTCCTTCTTTTTGCTTAGCTCCTTTAAAATATATGCAACAGGAATTTGAAAGTAATTTTATTGCTTTTATGCGGTAATTTCGAATTTTAATTCATTAATTTCCTGTAGTGGTAATTTATAATGTATTTTAATTACATTTCAGTCGTTTTAGAAAAGTAATTAGCAATGTAATTTAATTACAATAAATGTGTAATTTCAAATGTTCTAAAGTTGGAGTCTCTTCAATGAATGAAAGCGCACCCGCGTTACCGATCAATTACGGTGTTTGCAAAGAAGTTTACCCACATCGCAGGTTTGAGCAGAAACCAGATCCGCGTGAAGTATCGTCTGCGCATTCCCCATAACGGAGAGCAACTCCTTCGCAGCGGTCCGACGTCGGAGTCGCGCGTTGGTGCATCGACTCCTTCGAGGTCAAGAAAGTTGTATACTAAGGATAGAATATGCGATCCTTCGAAATTGCGTCACTTCAGACCTGCTCGCATTGGACTGGAAAAGAGCGTAAGCCCTGGGATTCCGTCCTAATTTGGCTCGAGGTTCGCCTCATTCCCATGAACGACTTCGCACGTGGGGTGTACCGGAGGAGAGTTATGAAACGTAGAACGAAAATAAAACGAGGCGTTTTTCTAGAGGGCGACTGCTTCGATCCTTCTTTCTTCTTTGTAATTGGCGTTATGTAACGATAAAGCAAACCAGAAGTAGACGGCCATACTTCGTTTCATGGTAACTCCTAAGCGCACTTGAACGCTCGAGCAAATACAAGCACCAACAAACATACTAAAGCGCAAGTCACCCCGCATTCGCCGCACCCGACTGGTTTAGCGATCAATAGAACCCACTGATCTCCACTAGAGGGGGCTGGATGGCGCATTGAGCAAACAGGTATGAAGCCACCGGAAGTAAGCAGCTTGTCCCGGACGTGAGCGCTTGGCAGGCTTTGTAACCTTTCTGCAAGTGCTGGTTCAAAAAGCGCCGAGGGCGCTGGATTTTCGCTTGTTCCCTCAAGAGAGCCTGCTTGTTGCGCAGTAAGAGCGCATTGCAGACCCGAGAAGTATCCTGGGAAGCCATTCAATGTAAACATTTTGAGATTCTAGTTAATCAAGTTGTGAATATGTCCCAAGTTCAAATGCCTCATTCTCGGGATTTAATCCTGAACGGGAATATTAAAACCCAATCAAAGACACAAAAACGCATGGCCCAAAATACCGACTGAATGCACTAGGAAGCCCAGCGCACGCCCGACTTCCGGGACAAGCATCGAACTTCCGGTGGCTTCACTTGCGCCAGGCTCGGAGAGCAGCTGAGCGCCATCCAGCCCCCTATAGTAGAGGTCAGTGATAGAACCCGTAAAAAGATCGCGAATGCTATTACGTTACGTTTTTGACGCTATTTGATTGGTCCCCTCCACTCGTGTACCGTCGGCTGCGCTCGTACTTCAGATTAAACGTAGTGTAGTCTCACGTCCCTTTTCCATATACTTCAGCTATCAAAGGAGGAGCGGGTCAGGGCTGTACCATAGATTGGCATTGCATGGTTTATCCCCTTTCGTAATTCTCTTCAGTGTCCGGTATCACCGGTAAACCGGTGACGAGAAAATATTACTCGACTTTCCTAGGATGATTTATCTACGCGTCACTGCGCTACCGAATGGCAGCCCATGCCATCGCAGCATTGCGGGATCTGAAGAATGAGCAGTTGGTCGCAAAGCCGTAGAAGCCGACTGAAGTAGGATTATCTATAACTTCGTAATTCCAGCTAGTTGCGAGACATATTATGCTGTATTTCCCGGACAATTGTGGTGAAGCTTCTGGTTTCTAAGCCTTTTGTCTTGTCAGATATTCCCTACATTCCGCATTATGAAGGGCATACATAAGAACCGTGTCTGTCGCGTCTGCGCTAGGCCTCATGGCACAACGAGCATGCGTTGCACAGAAACCCGACGCCTCCGAAGTCTGGCGAGGCTTTCAAATTTGCCAAACCATTCTTGAACCTGGAACTAA